GGAAGGAAGGAAGGAAGGAAGGAAGGAAAAGGAAGATTATAAAGAAGCAGCTTCCAATCTTCTTGACAGTGGTTGTAGATACATTTTTATTTTGCCCTCTCTCTCTAAGCTTACATCATAATTTCCTTCTTTCCATAAGCTATCCTTTCTAATCTTCAGATCCATAAATTACAAGTTCATTTTTCTTTTTTCAGCAAAAAGTCCATAAGGGGTTTCCAGTCATTGATAATTGTAGTTGTTGATCTTTTTCTAATCAAACAGGTTAATTTTGCCATCTCTGCTAGTTCTGTCATCTTTACCAATCATTCCTCCACTGTGGGTATTTCAGAATCTTTCCCTTTTTGTGCATATAATAGTCTCGCAACAGTAATCATATATAAAAATAATCTTTCATGACTTTCCTAACTGACTGTCCATTAATCCCAGCAAGAAATATTCTGGTTTCAGTTGAATGTTGATCTTTAAAATTCTTTGTATCATTAATATCATGTAAATTTGAACCCAGAAATTTCTGGCTTTTTTACAAGTCCATCAGGCATGGAAAAATGAACATAAATTTGAAGTACCTTTTTTTTTTATAAGGGTCATATACCAACAGTACATAATTTTATAAAAATTCTTTTAAGTTACAATGTAAATTTAAATCCTTTTAACCACATATTTTTCCACTGTTCCATTAGTATGTTGTGTCCAAAGTTTTGAGCCCATTTTATCATACAGTCTTTTGCTTTTTCTTCTATTTCAAATTTCAGTAAAAGTTTATACATTTTAGCAATTACATTTTCATCATTTGTACAAAGTTCAAGTTCAAATTCTGTCTTCTGCTGCTCTGTTCCAAATGTCCTATTACTACCTTAAACCTTTCTCTTAACTGTGTATACAAAACTTATTCTCCATGATCAAAGACTTTCTTGCTCTTGACAATTTAATGTTTCCAGTATCTCTTACTCTGAAGTAATTTTTGAAGTTGTCTTAATATTCCTGCCTATATTTTGTCCCTTATTCCTATCAGTGTCACTTATGCTATTCAAACAGTGCTTGCTTGCTTGCATGCTTGATTATGTGCCATCAACTTGGTGTCAACTCTTAGCAAACACTGAGATAGATTTTCTCTAGGAGGATCTTTCCCCAATCTGGACCTTTAGGTGTTCCAACAGCACACTCATTGCCGCTGTAAGTGAGTCCATCCACCTTGCTGCTAGTGATCCTCTTCTTATTTCCTTCCACCTTTTCCAACATTATACATTTTTGATGATGATGATGATGATGATGATGATGATGATGATATACAAAGACCTCAAATAGAAATCGAATGACTGTGGCATAAGAAAGCAAAGATAATACCAATAGAAATAGGCCCCAAAACATCTGGAGTACCACTTAACA